CAAACAGACTCCCCGTTGAGCTTGGAGCCTGACATGGGGCTCGATCCCAAGACCCTGAGACCCTGAGCCAAAACCAAGAGTCTGATGCTTAACCGACTGAGCCACCCAGGTGCTCCATGGAAACCTTAACCTTTTGAGTAACAGATTGGTAGTTTTCAAAACTGTGTTCCATGGAACCCTGCTTCAGGGTTTCCAGAAAGGTTTTCATTAGGATTTCACTATTTAAATATAACTTGGTTTAATAATCAACGGACATACTCCAGTGTGTTATAAATCAAATTTAAATTTGTTGGAGACTTCCAACTGAGTTAACTTGGGAGGTTAACTTATTTTTATGAAGATTTCAAAAATAAAAGTTCCCCACTCTTTTTCTTTACTGAAAAGAATCCTGGAATTTGCAAGACAGCTTTTTAAAAAAATAACAGAAAAACAACAAAACAAAATATTATTTACAATCATATATGTCTATGTGCACTTGGATTTTCTTAATCCTCTGTGAGCAAAACAAAATTCATAACCGGGTGCTGAGACCAATAAAACACTGCCACTTTAAAAATATCATGGTCATCAAGTAGCCTCCTCATTGTTCTCATTAAGTTTACAAAGTTAGCTTATAAAAGGAATGTATATTAATAAAATACGATATAAAATACTACATCCACCCTGAGTAAAGTTCTACGTAAGATTTTGTTTTTCAAAAAAGACTGCTACTAAATGAAAAGTTTGAAAACCTCGGCCTTAGCTCATTTGGACAATGGGATGGGGTGGGTGAAGTCCCATGCATAAGACCCTCAGGTTTCTGCTCTACCCCGTTTCTCTCTCCCTGCCCAGACCCCTGCAGCTCTGAGGCTCCGTCAGCGGGCAGAGGTGGAGATGAGATTTGCGCTAACACGGAGTTTGCGGCCCTTTCCTGCTTCAAGGGTCCACCACACACAATGGTGGCCCTGCTTCCATGCCGAGGCGACCTCCGCCAGTCCCTCCTTCCTTACTCTAGTTCATACCAGCCAGGAAAGCAAAGCAAACAAATGTTGCTAAGATCTCAGGGCTTCCAGTTCCTTGTCTCAGCTTTGGAAAATCTGCACTGTTAACTGGGAACTTCCTTTCTGCTTTGGCATTTTTCAATTTAATCTACTTATCAGTGAAATCTGTTCATGACAGGCTAGGAGGGAAAATACCAACAGGAAAGGGTGAAGACAAATAGAAATATTGAGCCTGGGGTAGATGGGAAGGTGAAGACCTAGAAGAGAAGGCATGTGAGACAGATATGAGCTGTAAAACTTTGCCCTTTTTAATTTTTTTTTTTTCTTAAGAAGGCTCTACATCCAGCATGGAGCCCAACATGGGGCTTAAACTCACGACCCTGAGATCAAGACCTGATCTGAGTTCAAGAGGCAGATGCTTAACTGACTGAGCCACCCAGGTGTCCTAAAACTTTGCACTTTTGCATAAACATTTGCAAGACTATATTCTATAACCTAGATTAACTCATAACTAATAGAAGAGCCATTATTTTCACTATAATTTTCCAAATAAATGTGGTCACCCTCAAACACCGCAGCTTCAGTTTCATTATATCTCATGTTATTTAGCCATTATGCAAGTTAAGCCTACTTCAACTGTAAAACCTCTGTATTGCAAAAATGTTTCCACATTTATGCAGAAACATTTCAGGTTCAAGGAATGACACATTTCAAGCTAGAGGAATGACAAAAAAGACGGATAATCACTTAAAGCAGGTTGTTCATCTGAACTGCGCTAACACCTCATATATTTATCCTTTATGTCTTCAGATACCCAGAAGAGTTGGAGACTTACGAGTTTTGGTAACTTTCCAGGGCAATCTGAAGATTCTATCAGTCTAAAACAAGACCAGCCATAATTAACTGTTGAAGACGAGTCGTGGGTTCATGGAGGTTCAGTATTCTATTCTCTCTACTTTCTTATAATAAAGTTTAAATATGTATGTTTGTATTTATTTATATAATCTGCTCTCCCTGAAATCTATTTTAGAATAGATCCCATCAGTCAGCTTCATCTAAATCTTAGTGTGACAGAAGTCACGCACTAACCAGCCATCCCTAAGAAAAAGAACAATTTCTCCCTGTTCCCTTCGGCTCTGCTTTGCAACTTTTCTCCTTGGATTTCCTTCTCACATGTACCTCATTCCATCATTCCCAGTTCCTGTTCTCGAATGTCACTATAGACTCTCTGTCCGTACATCACTCCCTCACACATTTAAATGGAGAAGAGAATAATCCTGAGCCTAAGGTAATTAAAATTCTATGATATATCCTATAGTTTGGAGTCAGCAGACATGATTATAAATAAATGCCTCCAGCAAGAATAATATAACACTGCTCCAAAATGCAAAATGATTTTCCAGAAATTCAAAAACAATAAATGAATCTCTACCCCCATATCACTCTTGCAGAGGTCTTACAGTCTGTGTGCACAAAAACCAATAGCTTGCAAAGAATTTTAAACAAATTGTGGGGGCCCCTGGGTGGCTCAGTCGGTTAGGCATCTGCCTTCAGCTCAGGTCATGGTCTCAGGGTCCTGGGATCGAGCCCCGCGTTGGGCTCCCTGTTCAGTGGGGAGTCTGCTTCTCCCTCTCCCTCTGCCCTTCCCCTGCTCCTGTGCATCCACGCACGTTCTCTCAAATACATAAATAAAATCTTTCAGAATTTTAACCAAATTGTGAACAGCATGGGGGAAAGAGAGAACAGTATGTTTGCGCTTGGGCAAAACTCTAAGGATTAAAATTATGCCTTGTCATCTTCACTGGCTTGCCGTGTGGCACTCTCCCTGTTACCTTCCAAAATACCAAAGGAGCTGTCAGATGTTTCACTTCACTTCACTTTATGTCAGTTCCTCGGTGATGCCATTTTTTCCCCTTTCTTCTTCTATTCTTTTCTTCCCGCCTGTAACATTAACAAGCTAAATGGGACCAGTAATCAATTGTCCTTTACTCTTAGGTTCTTCCACTCAAGCTCTTGCCTGATAATGAAGCACTTGTTTGTACTCAAAGACCTCTTCTAGGCATGAAGCTTCAGATGTGAAAGGGACAAAGGAGAGAAGAAAATGATCTCTTTGAAGACAAGAGAGTGTCTCTCTCACGTCTGAAGCTTCACGCCTGGAAGAGGTCTTTGTTAATGTTACAAGGCCGACCATACTTTCCAGCAGTTTCTGCACATCACAATCCTGCTCTAACTTCATTTTACAAGTTAGGAAAACCTGAGTCCAGATTTATCCAAAATTACTTTAAGAAGCCTCTCTTGGCATCTTGACCAAAACCACCATCCCCTCTGGGCAGGGGTTCCTGTAGACCAGCTATGTACCGGGACACTAATGACAACCTTGAATGTGTGTGGCTCCTTTTTCTTCCAGCCATGAGAACAGCAGATCTAGGCTGACCCCAGGGAAGTGGCTTATCTCTCAGTCTAGCACACTCCTCTGTGGATGCTCTCTAGCCGGGCCAAACAGGAACACAACTGGGGTTGAACGAACCGTGTTTAATGCTCACGGCAGTGAGACCACACATGTTGGCGAAGCATGGGGCATCTCAGTAAGAGGATGCAGAAAGAACCTATGGGATTGGGGCTTCAGTTGGGTCATTTGGGGGAGGGTCCAAGGAACAGGGGTTCACTCTGGATTGGGTGCTGTCTGGAAGCGGGGATAATTCTTTGATCGTGACTGACACTGAATCTCACCTGGGACAGGTGAGAACGCAGCTAAGGCCGTCACTAGTAAAGCGGCGGCAGTGACTTGGGTTTGGTGGGAGGGAGGAATGTTTGGCAGTCTGCGGTTTGCAGTGACTTTGTTTTTGCCTGTGCGTAGATAACACTATGAAGGGGTCTTGTCTCGTGTCACTTCATCACGGTCACAGCATGACCTTGACTGAGGCTGGTGTTCCGTGACATTGTTTATGTCCAACCAGAAAACGCCGTGGCCCGGCCGGAGCCACTGGGTCAGCTCCTGACACCATCCAAAACGTGGCTGGCGTGAGCTAGTTCCTGCCTGTCGGGGCTGTTTTTCTTGTTCTCCGCTCGGTTTGGTCTTGTCTTTTCGGGACTGGAAGATGTGGGGAGGATTAGATCAAAGGAAGCAGGATTGCATGGTGCCCCAGAACGTCTTCATCACTGACTCTAGTTCCTCTAGGCTTTCCATTGTTTTCGGCAGTTGTGTTTTTATCCCCCTCCAGGACCTGTGCAGAAGGGCCCCTTTGCCAAATACCATTCATGAGCACCCTGACCCCAACATCATGCCCAACATCTGACTGAGGGGAAGGATCTCCAGGATCCTCCAACCAGATGCCACAGTGAAGACTTGAACTCAGATCTTCCATCTCTTGAGCTGTTGCTTGCCCCGTATGCTCTGTTGAGAGCACCTGCCAGTGACTGATCCCACCCCGCCCCCCAACACTGGAACCTGGAGCTGAGTCCCAAGTCCGGTAGGGCTTTTCCACACTACTTCTGAATGAAGACTAAAATTCTTCTGTCAGCGATCCAGATCAGGGCAAAAACAGAAATGGCACAGCCTCTGTAGGCTGTACATCAGCTAGAGGTGCTTGTGGGGTTTACTGGGATTCACCTAACCCTGCGGGCCAACAGAGGTGCAGGAGCGAGACCCAGGCTAGAAGCTGAGCAGTGATGTTAGAAGGGTCTTAACCTGATTCCCCTCCTCTAATGCCTCGGAGAGCCACACCCCCTCATTCTTCCACATTCAGTCCAAATTCTCACCTGAGGGCAGATTCTGAGGTAAGTCTGTTCCTCATAAACTGACTTCTCAGAGGACATAATTGAGAGCCAGGTCCATCAATGAACATCCAGGAAGAGGGATCCTCTCCACTCCACAGCCTTCACCCCTACTTCTGCTGACACCTCAGATTGGCACAGATGACCTACATAGGCTGGCAACTCATACTTATTTTTGTTCTCTGGCCTTGGGGGGGGGGGTTTGCAGAGATGGAAAAATATGCAGAAGCAACTCTTCAGTTTTTCAAACAATTTATTCTGGGGGAGGGGGACAGAGAATTAGTCTTCACACAGGTTTCATAAAATATTTTTCTAACCCTCAGCGTGGGATACAGGCAATTCTCAACCTGGAGATGAGCTCTCTAGTGAAGATATTTAGCTTGCTTCAGGAGGGACGAAGGCTCACTCTTAAATTGTTCCTGTGTTTATTTTCAGTTATCTCAGCACAGAATGTTCTCTCAGGCAAGGTCAACTGAAAGACTCTTTAATACCAAAAGAAGTTGAGTTGAATCACAGAACTTGGTTAAATACATAGAAATGGTGGCTTCAACTATCAAATTATTTTGCCTCCTGCCAAGTCAAATCCATAGCTATGTTTTCTTCTCCAAGCTCCGTACGAGGAGGAGGTAAGAAAACAAAATAGGGTTTCAACCCACCCAAGTGCCCGACCTTCTCAAGGAGAGCCTCAGTGGAACCTCACACTGCCTTAATGGAGCCCATGTGCTCACTCAAGGCAGGGGAGAAAGTGAAGACACAGCTCACAACATGACTAAGATACCCCAGGGTCGTTAGTACTTTATTATGAATCATTGTGTGGGAAATGAGCACAAAATTAGGAATTCTCTTTACAACATTTAATGTCGTTTCTGACAGGTGTCTCACAACCAAAATGAAGCTTCTCATTTGTTTGTAAGCTCCTCACGTGCTTTGCTCAAAGCACTTTGAAAACATAAGGGAGCTCAAAAAGGAGAACACAGGTTGGTAAGTCAATAAAGTCACTGAGCCATACAGCTTAGAAACGCTCATGCCCGGGTCGGTTTTGCTAACGTTTGGACAGGCTGTTAACTATCTGGTAGTAATGTAAAAGGATTGTTTATTTTATTCATAAAACCCTCTGTTAAGACTTTCAAAATTCTGGCTCCTCTGACATGAAATTAAGAGGCAAAATGCTCAGGGTCATTGCTACAATACAACAGATTTACACTGTTTTTAAAAAATGTGTTGTCCCTCAGAGGCGTAGGGAGGGAGGCAAGTGGGGCTCCAAAAGGGGCCCCGGGGAAGAAAGGGATGGGCCTGCTTTATCTAACCGCCCAACCGCTCTGTCAGACCCAGTCCGTGCTCAGCTGTGAACTCCCCTCAGGCGCAGTATTTCCACAATTTAAACTTCTTTTCCACAGACCTTTTTTTCCCCTGAGGTAAACAATGAGAAAGGGGGTCCTCTCTGCTCCCCTTTGTTGTCCCCCCGACTCCTAACAAATCTGGCATGTAACAGGTGCTAAATAATCACTTCACTAGAAATCTCTCCACTTGGGGCATCTCTAGGACAAGTCTAAGTGGTTTGTCTTTAGTACCATCCCCACAATCAAAATCTTCCCTCAGGGGGGGAAATGACTTCGCAAGGATTTTTATCTGCATGTAAATAAATAGAGGTAAAGGAAGGCTGCGTTCTGTCAAAGGTGTTTTAGGTATCAATGTACAGAAATGGCGGATAAATGGAGAACACATCTCATTCCCCAGAAACTGGGTTCTGCTGCTGGGGACACACCTATCCCGCATAACCCCATTTAACAGATGGACAGAACCAGGCCTAGAAAAGAGACTTTCCTAAGGTCTTCCCTTCCTACAACAGTCACGGTGGCTCCAGGTGGCTTCCCAGTTCAGTCAGGTTTGGCTGACTTGCCCCGAGAGAAGACAGATGGAAATTGGTCTGTTTTTATTTCCCATAATTGGGCCCAGGCAAATGCATTCAGATGGCAATCTCCTGCCCACACATAGACTCCTTGAAGGGACTGGCCTGGGGAGCAGGGGCCGAGCCTTGAGCATCTTAACAGCAAGCTCTAGTCTCGGGAAGGAGACAACATGCTGCTCCCACCCTGGCAGGCCCCTGTAGGGAGTGGTGTGCACCCCGCTGGGGGGCCCCCACAGCTCAGAAACCACCCAGAAGCCTAGGGGCTGGCTGTCAGTACAAGAGGGCCAGGATCACACTCCCGCTCGGGCCTAGAAACCAGATTCTGGAAGCCACTTTCTTATTTGCGGAATGGATCTTCTATTTCATAACTGGTAAAAAGGTGATTTTTATATGCAGAGTCCCAGCTAAGGAATTCACTGTGATGTCTAATACACCTGAACCTATTTTTCCCCCCCCACTGATAGCCTCAATTTGCTATTCCCCAAATACAGGTTTCTGGATTACTTCTGTTGATCTTTTTTTTTTTTTAACTCAAAAACAGGACTGAGTTACCTTCAGAATACCGACTTTATCAACCTTGACAGTAGCACTGCATTTATAAATCACAATAACCAGAAGGTTCTTTACATTTCCACTGCTTCAAAATTAAGTTTGGAATGATTACCCGGACATGAGACTTGCCAATAACTCACATTTTATAAAAAGGATTTTAAGTCCATGTGTGTAACATTACTAAGATATAATTCTCTAGGAAGAGAATTCCTATTTTATTTTTTTGCAAACAATTTTAGAGGCAGGGTGTTAAACTGAACTTTCACAAGATTGACGTTATTGCTTAAAGTGCTTGAATTGGTTACATGAAAAGAAAATTAAGGTACAGATTATTTTAAATAAAAACTAAACTTTTTTTAGCAACAAAATCAAATGAATGCCACACAAATACAGTAACTATTTTGATTACAAAGAAATGGGAGCCAAAAATAAATTAATGTAATACTGGAAAACAGAAATTTAATTAGGCAGAAAAGTAGGAAATAATTTTCCCTGATCCATGCCATTTACATGAGTTATTCACAATAGTGCTGATAAATGCCTTGACCATATAATAGCAAATGAGGGCAAAACATTAAGGGCACGATATTTTAATACACGTGAATATACAAAGTTGATCAAAATGCAATGTTTAAAGATAAAATCCATCTGTAATAAAGCTACACTCCAATATCTAAAATAAGTCCTAAGCTCCAGTTAGAACATAGTTCATTGTTAGGCATGCCCATGAAATTAAGCATATCCATGAAAATAAATGCATAGGGACCATTCCTGTCATTTTTTTTTCCATTTCATCTGAAATCCAAAATATGCCAGGCCGCAAAACCAAATACGACTGGCTTCCGATTCGAACCAACACCCTCTTGTATTGTTCCTTGGCTCTCTGCGAACCAGCCCACTTCATGCTGCCTTGGAATGGAAAATGCATCCGTGTAACCGGACTGGATGTCAGCATTTTGCCAAAAGAGGCTTTTAAACAAATGTCTTTTTAGCAAACTGTACCATACATCTCTATGCTCAGCTAGTAAGTAACCAATAAAGCAAATATGTTTTCTCTCTTTTAAGTGTAAAACACTGTGACTTATTCTAAAACCTGCAGCATTTAAAAGAAATACAGCAGGCCTACTCTAACTCCTGCCAGGAAACGACACACAAAACCCCGGCGATCTGAGGGAATATTGCTGAGTCTTTGTGCTATCGTTGACCTCAGGAAGGTCTCACATCTCACACCGTTCTCTGCTTTATACAATGAGGGAGGATGAAAAATAAAGTGTTTGCATGCTACTGTCTTTACATAAAGTGAAATGATATGGGGGAAATGTAGCTGCCTAGTGTTTGTTCATTTATTGAAGAGGAAAGAAATGATCAGATAGCTCTAAAGTTTAAAAATCTGATGGAGTGTCGGTGGATAAGTGTGTTTTGGTCTTTCTCCAATCTTCTTTTCCTGCATCACACAACCATTTTAATGCCTTTGCATTACCTTCCATACTTGTTCTTTACTCCTAACCTCTCTCCAGGAATACTGAATTCTAACTGACCCTTTCAGTTTCTTCTCTTAAGTCACTGGGAAAAACTCTTTACACGTACAAAAACATAGTATTAATAATAATAATAAAGAAAATGCACTGAACCTATGACTTAGCACTTAGATATTACTTCTGTAGCTTTCCAATTGAAACTTCTTGTTTCTAATAAATTAGCTTCAAGAGTCATTTCAAAGATAATTTTAATAGTTTTTCTTATGAATCAGTTCCAAATATATTAGATATGAACCATTATTTTTTTTAAAAAACTTTGCAACCTGCAGTCAAATATATGGGTTATATATAGTACAAACAGTTCCTTGTATCAGTCACCTTCAATTGCAAAGTGTCTCTCCTTAAAAACAGAATAAATACTCACCTTCCAGGTAATTGATTACTGCATATGTTTCATGGAGGGAAAGAAAGACAAAATATTTATAAATATGAATTTGCCTCTAAACAAGGCAAGGTATCACTTGTATAAAACAATAATGTGAAATCACCCTGTTTTTGTCTTCTCCAGTGAAAAGTAAAACATTTCACTTCAAGCACGAACAGATGAAGTGTCGGCATGCTTATTTAAGTTCTGAGCAATAAACAGTTCAAGATATGTCAAAAACAAGAATCCAGTTTTCATCTAGATAAAGTGCTATGCTCTTCATTTTACAAAATGGCCGCTAACATTTTCGATTTCAATTTTAGTTCACATTATGCCAAACATCTGCATGTTCATTCGCTGATTTATTAGGTAACAAAATAATACGTTCACAGTATATTATATAGTGTATGGAAGTCAACTGACTTCCCAAAGGAAGCCAAGATCTAGGACTCATAGTTATTTGTAAGAATCCAAAAACCAGCTCAACAGCAAAACACCAAATTGACCCTTTTGATAAAAGGTACCAATACTCAAATGATCTAATAAATACATATATAACAAAAGTGAAAAAGTAAAAGTAACTCTAGTGAGATGAGGTTCTTCCAAAAACTGTCTTGTCAAGCATTCTAGGAGTCTGAGCCAAAGCGACGCCACCATTTTGTTCATTCCTCCGCCCACCCACTCACACTTCCTCTGACCCACATTCACACCCAGCTAACTCCAGTAATCCCTCTAGGGAAGGTTCCACATTAGCCCCAGGGCTCGCCAAGCACCTCAATAAATGGAAATGTGAAAAAGCCAACAGCTGTACCAAGCGGCCAATGGTGGTGATAGAGAAGGACGTGGGTGCTGACCGGCCAAGGAGAGCTGGGCCGGAAGCAGTCACCATGGTGTCTTAGCCCTGCGACCACAGACTGCAAAACACCAGCAGGCCTGGAATGACACCCAGGAAAGCTTAGCAGTGCCAGAGAGAGGACAGATACGACTCACAGGACCTCACGGAAGCTGAAGGTCACTAAGAACAGACAGCTTAGGGTTATTTTCCTGACGCGTGGTTTTGGTAGAAAGATAAGAAACGTAACTTCTCACTGTCCACGAAAGCTTCCTCCTCTTGGCTTTGCCTGCCCTGAGCTTCCTACCTTTCTAGCCTCGGGGATTCTCAAGGCTGGCAGACAGAGAGCACAGCCCGGGGCAGGCGCAAGCCCCCAGGAACAGCTTCTCTTCACCCTGTTCCACCTGGAGGATGGTCTTAGTATTGAGGTTACTCACTCGTCAATGTTTTCACTTGCACAAACTTAAAGCTATAGTTGCAGCCCTAAAAGGTGAACATCTACCCAATTCTTCTGTCCTCCTGGCAGAAAAGAGGCACAGCAGCAAAAACTGGGTAGCGGTGCTTCCAGGGACAAGTTAAAGGAATGCACTGAGACGCGATCCCGGGAGGCATTTAGGCCGTTCAGCAGAGACCCAAAACAGACTGTAGACATTCGCAGGAAATGTCACTCGGCTTCAGCCAGACACAGCCAGTGGTGGGGCATTTACCCGATCCCAAAATTAGCAACTGTTACTCATATAAATCCTACTACAATCTGATTGCAGTTAACTCTACCTCAGACTAAAATAAAACCACAAGTAGTGCTGCATGTAAAAAAAAAAAAACCAAAGGGAGAGAAAGTCTAACAGAGCCAGACCGTCGGACTTGGCGTCATATCCCTGGTGGGCCGCTGGGGAGGAAAGTGTGCAGGGAAACCACGGAAGAGTGCTTGGAACATTTCCCCCCATTTGAATTAGTCCCGCAGGTCTTTAAGTTATTCTCTTGACTGATAGAATAAAATATATCCAGATTCTGAATTTTTTGATATATCGGATGTCAGGCCATAGAATTCTTCAATAGCTTGGGCATCTATTTTCTGCAACAAGAGAGACACAAATCAATACCATTGTTTTTAACATGAGGACTGCAAGAAGGAAAGAAAAATGAACAGGATGAACGAGAAAATGTAAGAAACACTGTTCTAAAATCACAACTGGGCACTCTCAACAGCAACCGGGCAATGCCCCAGACTTGACAAAAGGGCACAATTATGTAACTTGCAAATCATTGAGGAGGAAAGCCACCCTTTAATCTCTGAGGCCGCTTGTATGTTGGCACTCTTTGAGGAAGCCAGGGCTTCTGTCTTTCAAAGGGTAAGCCGGGGGGTCTTGGGAAAAACCTTAATTCTTTCAGGTCATCAGAGTTCACTCCCTTTAGTGTTGCCCTATGAGCTAAAGTGGACCTTGTCTGAGAGTAGAATTCTCCCAGCTAGTACTCTTTTACAACAAAATCAATACACGGAACCCTTGAGTGTGACAGAACGATTTTCAGGTTCAACAGACTGAAAAACTATTTTTAACGATCAATACAAGGAAAATTCGGTATAATGAAAGAATTCTAGTAGAACTTTTTTTTAATTTAAGTTTATTATTTGGTCTGTACCAGAGAGGGTTTTGGTTGCAGCGGAAAACAGGACTTACATAGAATATAAATATGATTTCAGGTGACACAGAGATCCGGTATCTATGGTGGATCAGTTAACAAGAACACAGTATTAATGAGCCCCTATCACACTCCTATCTGCCTTTCCACGGAGAACGAGGAGCAGCAGGGTTGAGTTATGAGACAAATGTAAATTGTTTTCAAGCCAGATTAGGGGAAAACAGGCCTGTTTTAGGAAAGGTCCACACATACACATTCCCCAGAATACCCTACAGTGGGGCTAGGGCACAGACTGTAATCTGCATACCAACCTCTACAATGTCATCATCAAACAAAAGCCAGAAGCCATGACTCTTCACAATAGTAATATAATGCCCACGGTTAGGACCGCTGGAAAAGAACAAACAAAAGTTACCAAGTTAACATTTACTTCTTTAAGAAAAACTATGTAGCTCTGTATAAGTAGTGATTTACCAGAACCAACCCTCTCATCAGGACAGAGAACTGCTACAGATCAGGTCTATGCCCACATTAGTTTGGCCACAATGTATGGAGGAAGGATCCACCTGGCAGTGCTGTGCTGAACCTAAGGGAATCTTTGGCAAAGATGCAAAAATATCGGTCTTATAAAGATCCACAGTCCAGTGGGGAAAGTGGATAGTCAAGCCCGACAAATATAAACAAACGACTGTGCACCTACTATGTTCCAGGCTCTCTTCTGGTTGTCAGACAGAAAAGCAGTGACAAAAACAAAGTTCCCACTTTCTCGGGGTAAGGCTTGGCTAGGTAATGAACAAACCAAAATATAAATACATTTCAAGGGGTAATGAGTGCCATGAAGAATAAAGCCAGAGTAACAGCATGGAAAGAGAAAACAGAAACCTGTGCCAGCTGAGCACAGGATCACAAACAGGTGAATTTTCAACGGACTTTTCCATGCTTCTATCTACAGCTATGGAATAAAAAAATACCCGCTCAAAAGGATTTCCAGCAAAACGCTTTGCATCTCCATATCTAGGGGTCTTCTCTCTTATTCTCTTTTTTTTCTGATTGGGTAAAGACTACAAATGGCATAAAGAATATTTTTAAAAGTATATTTAAAAAAATTTTTTTTAAAAAGAGTACATTTTAGATTTATTTTGCAATGATAAGAGCTTGGAAGACAACCTCAAAAGTACCATATCAGGGAGTCTCACAGCCCCGGAAAGGAACAGCTGGGTCTACTCGGGCGAGAGCACGAGGCTGAGCCTCCCCTTGTGGCCAGCACCCCGCTTCCCCGCCTGCCCTCACCTGCCGCAGTGAACCACCACAGCCACCAGGTCGTACATGCGGTCCAGGTTCACGGCGTCGCTGGAGGTGTTGAAGAGCCGGAGCTCCAGCGGGAAGACCACCCGGTAAGACAGCTTGGTGTACCTGTGGAGCTGCTCCATGTACTTGAACCGCTTCAGGTGCAGGGCCAAAATCATGGGCAGCTTCTTCACTCTCATCCTGAGAAACCACGCAACAGACCATCAGTTGTCCCCCATAGCGGCCAAGGCGACAAGAGCACGCCATGGCCACACAAATGGACAGCAGGAGGGCTCTCACGGGCTTCAATCCAGCGAACAACCGGACCGCTCGCAAGAATGAAAGGACGCGCACGTGCGGAGAGCTGGCTTCCCTGACTTTCTCGGCCAATGGGGGCACAGCCGGCACGAGCGACGTGCCACAGCAGGTCTCTGTTTCGGTTTGGTCAAAGGAGACCGTCCTGAATTTTTGTACCAATAAAAAATAGGATGTGCACCTGCTCTCCAGTACTGCCTGCTGCCCTCCAGAAAGGAACGGTATTTGGACAGCCACACCCCCCGGCACGCCATCTGGAGATAGTGGAGAGGAGGGGTGACAGCTTTTGAGAAAAGGAAGTTGGGGGGAGGACAAGCAGAAGGCTGAAGTTTGGCCTTCTAGGTTCCGAGGGCCGGCCGGGACGCTTCCCGAACTACACTGCCGGAGGCCGGGAAGCCAGGCACGCTCGGCGCATGCTCACTCCGTGCAAAGCATTCCCCTGGTGTGCTGTGTCGTCATTCTAAAAATGTAGGGCTTGGCTTAGGGCTACACTCCCCAAACGGGGCTTGCGGGAGCACTGCAGGTGCTCACAGAGGCGGGGTTTCTGGGGCACGTCTGAACAGGGTTACTTTTGATTTTGAAGTTCCTCCCTGCGCACTGGCATACTGAAGGTTTTGAGAAATCCTACAGTGAAGGAACTGTTCTCTTTTGTTGGATGGGCCTTTCCCAAACTTACATGAACACAGAAAGCTTTCTTCACTAGGTGACCATTAATATTCCTTGGTAAAAAATTCACAAAAACAACAGTTTATGTAGGTAATTCTGCTAGAATAGAGGATCTTCGGTCACCTTCCGGGACCCCCCCTCCTGAGTCAGCGGCAACGCTGTATACATTTTCAAGGCATATTATTTGAAAAGGACAAATTTTAAGAGACCACTGTTCAGGAATCTATTGAGGTAAAACCCTGTTCATAAAAATAAGCAAAATAGCAACGCCAGCTGAAACATAAGAATCTTGGGGAACACCATATTTTACAGGAACACACAATATTTTAATCAATAAAACCTCCAGGGCTGAGCAGAACATAACATTTTTGAGCCACACAGCAAGGCCTGGGCTGGCCTTGAGCAGACCAAGATTCTAAGGACGGGGAGCAGAAAGGAGCTCCCTGATCACTCACAACAGTTAACCACCTCTGCCCTCCATTCCCATCTGCTGGAATGACTAACCTTTGATGAGTTTTGATGCAGGGAGGAAAGATGTGCATATCTGGGGCGGGGGAGGAGGGGAGCTGCAGAGGCTGGGCAGAGGGACTATTCCTGGCTCAGCTCTAGACCCTGGAAGGTTTCAGACGGCAGTCATGAGCTCTTGTGTGCTATTCTGAATATTCCACAACTGTGGGCAGGGTAAGTGTAACTCAGGGTAAGGCCTCATGGGATAATTAAAATGTCAAGCTTCCTGATTTCTCGGGCAGATAACAGAATCCCTGATGATTGCGCACTCTGTCCAGGGGCTGTAACCAGCTGGTGCTGGTAAAAAGACAGGCAAGCACAGATCCCGTATCAATTCAGAATGTGATGACTTCTTATTGCCCACCCATATAACTGATGTATTACTGAGTTCCTGTTTCCATATTGAGTGATTAACTTTTTTAACCTCTTGCGTCTCTGAAATAAGTTCCAACACTGAGGCAATACCAACAGTATTACTAGATATCTACTATGTGTTGTAAGCTACATCCTTTTTATAATTTGCCTTTCATCCCAAGAGGATAGTTAATTGTATCTGATCACCACTCGTTTACCCAGCACAGTATCTGGCACACAGCACGCAATAAACATTTGTTGAATGAATGAGTGGACAAAGGATCCAACAATCAGACAAATGGACAAGTCTCCAAGGTAGGCATTTTTATCCTTGTTTCTCCAGGGAGGAAGGCAACTGACTTCTCCAGAGCTCCTCGGCCACGAGCCCATGGAACTGGGATTCAAAATGAGATATGGTCCCTTCCCTCAACACAAAGCCACCCTCCGGGCTAAATCCTTTACGCACCTTTTCTGGGCCTCCTGTTTGCTGCAGCACGTTTCACAATAATATTTCTGTTCACTACACAGTGTTTCTGTGTTGCTGAAGTCTCTGCAGAGAAAAATATTTTCAACTCAAAACACAGTCCAAAATGTACTTGCTATACCGTATTTTTAACCCTTTATTACCTGTAGGGTAATTTTTTTTTTAATGTTTTATTTATTTTGGGGAGGGAGAGAGCAAGAGAGAGCTCGCACAAAGGGAGAAAGAGAAGCAGACTCCCCGTCGAGCAGAGAGCCCGCTGTGGGGCTCGATCCCAGGTCTCTGAGATCACAACCTGAGCCGAAGGCATTCACTCAACCGACTGAGCCACCCAGGTGACCTATAGGGTGATTTTTAAGTGAATGTGGGGAAAAAAGCAATGAGAAAAGATCTTTCTGATGAGTAGATGCTATGATTGCCATTAGACCATGTCTGCTGGGCTGGGTTATGATTTCACCACTGGCGGTTTTCAAGGAGAGCTTTATTTCATGGGACACAGATGGATATAAATTAGGGTTTCCAACAGATTCAAAAAACAAATCTCAAGGTTTAACAAGACCACCCGTACCCTGGAGCTTAAAAATTAGAACAGAAAAATCCTCACTATTGTAAAAGCCCATCGTTACGCTGTAAGTCAGGTCTGAAAAATTGTCAATCACATAAAATGCAAGGAGACATTATCATGTAATGAGAAACAGTCTATCTCAGGTGATCTATATTTTCAAAGGGTACAAAGGGACAGATAATGAAATTTAAATCATATACAACTGCCCTTAGATTGAACTAAGAAAATCCCTAATTAGCAGGAGATACCTGCTTCCTCCAACCCCCTGCTCCCCATCCCGCACCTTCGCTCCTTTTGAGGACAAATGCCACTGCCCAATGTTGTATCTGTATTCACCCCTATCGTGAAGTTTTACCGCGCTACTTATAGTTTTCATTTTTTAAATGTCACGGCTTTTCATTCTTTCCTGGTCACTGAGATTCTACTTAACATTCCTGTGGTACTGCTTCAAAGGCTGAGAAGAACATCCAAAATATAATACTCTGGAGTCTGGAGAGAGCCTGTGATATTTCTTTATTCATAGGGAGTGTCCTAGCAGCAGAATGATCAGATTTTATTACACAGAAAATGTTATTTACATGGTGTTATTGACTCACGCACTTAAACAGAGCTTATCAAAAGAAACCGTAGATTGCTCATGCGTTCACTACTCAGCCGTTAACCGACGTCATCTAGACTTGGTGCTGGGGGCTCACAGAAGCACCCACCCTCACGCTGCCCCCAGTCTAAGAGACACGCGCAAGTAAGCCATTTTACAGTAGGCAGTGTTCCGGGCAGCTTAAAAAAATCATTTCACACACTTCTCCCACCTAAAGCCCGCTGGCCCGTCCCCAGTACGCTTAGGAATAAAACCAAATACCTCGCCAAGGCAGACAGGCCCTCGGCGCTCAGACCCCTGACTGTTCTTCTGACCTCCCTCCTACCTTCCCTTCCGAGTGCCACGGAGCCTTTCTGCCTCAGGGCTTCTGCATGTGCTGCTTCCCCAAACAGTTCCTTTCCAGATGCTTCCATGGCTGGCTCCACTCATTGTTCGGAGCTCAGCAAAAATGGCACCCCCAGGGAGAAGACTTCTCTGTCCACCTTCTGCAAACCCACCCAGCCTCTACCCTGTCTGCGGTCTTGTTTTCGTCCCAGCACTCAGCACTATCTGAAACCATCCTCCTGTTTGATCGCTTGACCCCTCTCTCTGTGGGCAATGGTTCCGTCTATCTCACTCACTGCCACATCCCCAGCCCTGAGAACAGGCCTGATGCAGCATGGCGCTCCATTTGTTGGCTAAGTGAAGACAGAAGCAGGTATGTCAAATCCAGGGGAAAGCACCGAGGAAGAAGAAAGGAACTTGAACTGGGGTAACGCGCGTCATTTCCAAGAGGTGATGCTGCAGTCAGGTTCTCAGAGAGGCAAAGTGCCAGGTGGGTAAGAGTCAAGGGATCCAGACAGAGGGACTGCTGCAGCGCAGGGATACGGAGCCAAGGTACGGAGTGTGTCTTAGAAGCTGGTGCGGACCCGTGGCTCTAGAATCCCACTAACGGGCCCCAGGCAAGGAAAAGACCTAATCAGTGCTTCTGAGAAATACCATTTCTGGCAGCACTATGGAGGAAGGACTGGAGGGGCCGAGAAGCAAGAAAACAATTCAGAAGGCAATTACACTCAACTCTCAGATCTCAGGTGCTTGGTGCATAACAGACTCAGACTTAGCTGAATGAACACAGGCTGACTCTTCAACAAAGTAACTGACGTGAACGCTTGGCCTACACAGGGCTGGGGTGGGACTGGTGGGTGGGGGGCAGGGAGAGGGGGAGGAGAGTTTGGATGATGGTGGAGATTCACCTCACTGGGATGTCTACCACAGACGTACCTCTTCATCCAGCTAAGGAACCAGAATCATCAAGGCAAGCACAGTGGTGAATAAGGAATTAAAACACTTCCCACTCTTATTCTTCAAAGAAAGTTTTCTGAAGTATTTGCAGACCCAGATAGGTGGAAATATACCAAAGTCAGTACTTAATTTAAAGGCCCGATTTGCAAATCACCACCACCCTGCTCCGCCCCAGCTGGCTGGAGGCCCTCCACCCCAGGGCATCTGTGGGTGGAGAACGGGAAAATGAGGCTAGGTCAGGTGAAGGGGCTGACCCCAGCAGGTAACTGCGGTACAGCATGTCTCTCGGTCGATGCTGCACAGCTGCTCTGCCCTGCCTCCCAGGAGCCAAGGTGACCTATACACACCTGTAACCTGTCTCCTGGAGCACACCAGGTGGGAAGCTTTGTTCTAAGGAAGACAGCAGCAACATCAGCAGTTCTCCTGGCTGCCCGTTAGAATTACCCGGGGAGCTTCCAAAATAATCTCAGTGCCTAATCCCTCCCCCCTGGCCCCCACTCAATTACATTAGAAGCTCTCCAGGTAGAGCAGGTGGTTCCAATATGCTGGGGTGTCTGCGAAGCACTATTCCCAGTGCTTTGTCACCCTTAACATGCATTTGCATCACTTGGAGATCTTGTCAAAATGAAGATTCTGGTTTGCTCATTCGTTCTTGGGGGAGGCCTAACATGCCGTTCTAATGAGCTCTCAGGTGATGTCACTGGTGCTAGCCCATGGACCACTGTCTGAGCAGCAAAGACCCAGAGTAGTGGATCTCAAACTCTGGTGCTATTAGAATCACGTAGAAAATTGATTAAAAACAGAGGCCAGGCTCACTGAAGTTGACTACGGGCTAGGCCCCTATTTTTCCCAACTTCCCCAAGGTGATTTTCATACACACCAAAATTTGAGAACCCCGGATTAGAGTTTTAAAGAAGGCTGAAAAAAGAAATCCACGAGAAACACATGTCAAATATCAGGAAATACTATATATATCAATAATAACCAAACACAGGTCAGAGAAATAAATAAATAAGCACGCGGCAATGGATGTGTGGTGGGGATGCATATGAACTTCGTATACAGAAGTTTCTCAGGGGCGCCTGGCTGGCTCAGTCAGTAGAGCGCATGACTCCTGATCTCGGGGTTGTGAGCTCGAGCCCCACAGTGGGTGTAGAGAACACTTAAAAGAGGTTTCTCAAAATAAGTAGGAAAGGAATTCGTTTTAGAGAAGATAAATTTTTAAAACAGAGCTACAGGAGAATGAAGAGCTACTTCCCTCCCAGCTGACCTCCGCAGCACTGGGAGAACAGGCATTTTAAATGCGAGGAAGACAGCGCAAGGGAGAGTGGTTTCAGAACGTGGAACTTAAAGAGAAGATTTCTGTGAAGGAGCCACTCAGGCACTGAAGTGAAAGGCAAAAAAATACCCAAAATGTCATGGAAGGATAATTAAGATAAACTTCACGTATCTGAAGTTTTTGCCTGAAGTCATCTCTAAGCTGTTCAAAAGAAGAAAAGAAAAAACTTCCTCGGTATTCACTTATGATACGGATGGCTCACCCGGCCTGAGACAGGGTACTGACGTTTGAAAAGTGAGGATTCTAGTTCAGTTACAGTATGTATCTAATGGTTTCCATAGCCCTGTATCCTGAACGTAACCGCTATTTACTGCATCATTCCTCTGGGACAAAAGCCATGAAACCATACTGGAATTAACCATCTGGAAGGAGGTGGCAGAGACCTTACATTCAAACCCTACAATTTTAGCTTGATTTGTAATTTCTTTTGGGTCATCAAAATGAAAGAAAGATAACATATCACATCAGAAGACATATGCAGACATAGTAAGAAGAAAATTCATAGTTCTAATTTTAAAAACAAACCCTTAAGAATGCAAACTGAACTGAACCATGAAAGGGACCCAAAAGATTATAATCATTCCTTCTCTTTTGCCTCAGATGGAAAATGCTAGTGGAGCAGCTGGGCATCATTGATTCCCTGGGCCTTTCTGGGCACTCTGTTCTTTCGGGATAGGTTAGAAAGCTGCCACTCCTAGCCCAGAACTCTGAGTGTGAGGGTGAGTGGCAACACGCAGCCCAGGCCCGTCTTCCTGTTGGAAAGGTGAGACCTCAAGAGGCCTGCCCTGATCGTGGGGTCCACACTGGCATTCCCAGAACCCACCACTCCGGAGACCTATTCAACTTCCTCGAAAGCACCAAGCGTCGCCTGTGGACTCGCCCTAGGACGTAAGTGCTGTGGGAGCCGGAACGTGTCTGATGCTCGCTCCTCCACGCCCAGTGTCTAGAGTAGGGCTGGGCTGCTCCTCAGCCCTCAGGACTTACTGAGAGCAGGAGGGGGAAGGGGAACAGGGAATCGTGTCTGTGAGTCGACTCTGGGCACATTTCCAATGTTCAAGTCAATAACACAATATGCCTGGAATCTGGAGCATGTGCTGTTCTGTGCTCCGGGTTCCTTACCTTCTCTCAACCCTAACAAGGAGGAATTTCCTTCCATCACTCATCTCCACAGAACGCTGAAAGATGGAGGAACAGACGGTTCCCTCACTGGTTCTCCACTCAAAAGTACATAATTTTTCAAAGTAGCTTAGAAAGAAAAAGAGTAATGGTAGGCATGGGTAGCGTGTATTAATCGTGTGTGTCAGAGAGACAAAGATGAGAGAGAGAGAGATGAAAGCCAAAGCCCACATCTGGATTAAAGATTAAAACTTATTTTTAAACTTAAGGACTAATGACTTCCACTTGATCCTCTTTCTTCTCAGCAGGATCCTTCTTCTCTAGACCACATATACTTACTTTTTAATCTCTCTTGGGAAAGAAGAAATAGAAAATAATAGGATTATATGGGTTTAACAGAAAGAAAGATTACCTCCTGAGGAAACAGTATTCCCCCCCCCCCCCCCCCCACTTATTTACTAGCCTGATCAAAAGCTCAGCTCACTGTCAGAATTCATGAGGTTACCTCAGACAGTGGGTAATAGATGTATTCTGCTCCACATCGACAGAAAGGTCAAGAAAATCTTCATCTTTGCTACTAACCTGAAGCAAAGAAAAAAGAAAAAAAGTATTAGGTACAAAATACATAAGAGACATAGCAGGTAAAATTCTGAACACCTACAGGTAACCAAAACCCAAAACTGCAGGCCTGGTCATGCGCAGTTTTGTATACTCACTGGCACTGAGTTACACTGAAAACAACCCAATCTAGAGAAAGTCCAAAATTCTCAATTTACCTAAATTCCCATTCCAGCTTTAATTCAGAACTTTTAATAATTAGCACTCAACCATATCTCGCTTCCTCTCCATTCATTTTCCCCCTCATTTCAAAGTAGGAAGTATCAGGCAAAACACCCATAGAGACCAAACTAGCAGAATGAGAAAAAATGGAAAAAAAGACAAGAGACTTCTAAAAGTCACTACTCAGATAGTCAACCTCCGTGAGGCCGTCTGCATCTTCCGCCAGTCCCTGGAAATCACTGGCTCCGGAGCCTCATCATCCAAACTGTGCCTAGGGCCAGGGAGATGATGGGTGCTGGGCCGGGGGATCACACTAACCGCACGTGCACCTGTCCCTGAGCCGTGGAAATGGCCATCATTGCAGAGCCCTGGCTCACACAGGCCACCCTACGGCGGACTGCTCCCGGGAGCTGGCTCACTGGCCCCGCTGTTTCTTGGCCCCTGCCGTTCATACCACACCAATCCTGGCTCTCCTACTTACTGAGGTTCACGGAGTTTAACTGCTTGCATTCCAGCCGTTGACTGGCAAGCCTGGTGTTTTACTCTCTTGCAGTGGGAGGGACAAACTAGCTCAGCAACAACCTTGAAGTGTTCAGTCAATTGGCAGCAAAATGAGAAAACACTCCTTTAAGTGGGACAACTATCCTATGACCCAATACTCCACCACTAGGCCATTATCTAAAGAAATATTCAGAATGTGGACACAGTCTTTTATACTTTTATTAGTACACACAAGCAAGGGTGTTGAGAAAGACTTTCCAGTTCCGTATCCTGTCTGTCACTTATGCAGTGGGTGACTGTAGGCCAGTTACTCAGCCTTGGTGTACCTCAGTTTCCTCATCTATAAAGTGGGGACACTAAGAGTATTTCACCAGGCTGTTGTAAAGATAAAATAATACATGTAAGGTGCTTTCAAAATTAAACACTCAATAAATCGGGGGAAGGGGTGTAAAAATTGTAAATGGCCTAAAATGGGCAAAGAGCTGGGAATGGTTTACTACATGGTGGGTATATCATACCAAATGAATAAGTAGACTACACAACCTTCTATAAGCGAATTCGTTTTGTATAAAAAAAGGCATGTATACATTTACACACATACACATGCCCTTACACATATACACACGCTCCATCATTCTGCCCCCCCCCTTTTTAATGGCACTTGTTACTGCTATGGTAGAATACATGAAAGGCCCAAATCTTCACCACCGCCTACACTGGCTTCCTTGCCATATGACTTTACAGATCTTCTCAAGAGATACGCTTCCCATCTTTGATTCTGAGTTCAGCCATACGACTTGCTTTGGCCAGTGGGATGTTAGGGGACATGTCAGAAGCAGAAGCTTGAACAAGCACTTACAAAATTGCTCTCTTGATTTCTGTCATCACCATAAGAAGGATAAGCCCAGGCTAGCCCACTATTTTTTTTAAGATTTTATTTTTTTGAGAGTGCCTGAGATTGGGGAGAGGGAGAAGCAGACCCCCACTGAGCAGGGAGCCCGACACGGGGCTCGATTCTAGGGCCCCGAGATCCTGATCTGAGCCGAAGGCAGACGCTTAACCAAATTAGCCACCCAGGGGACCCCCCAGCCTAGTCCACTATTCCCAGGAAGAAGATGAGAGACCCATGAAAGAGAGCTGTTCTCACTAAGGTACCCCAGCCAAGCCCAATCGAGAGCAAAATGCCTAGCCAGCCTGCAGATACAGGAGTGAGTCAGCTGAAATACAAACACACAAGTTCAGCCAGGGCCAGCCTAGATCAGGTGACCCTCAGCCACCCCACAGTTGAATGAATTATAATAAATGATAGTTGATTTAAGTCTCAGAGTTTTGGGGTGGTTTGTAACAAAGCAATAGATAACCAATACAATGATTTCATATTATAAATGTTTTATTTGTATTTTTTTATTGTCTGACTCTCCCTCACTAAAATGAAAGACTGGTTCCAGGAATGACTAAGATCTTTCCATTCCTACACTCCTCCAGAAAACTATAAAACTCAGCTAACTATAAATACAAGTAGCTACCTGAAGGTGTTGGATATATAAACACAGACAGGTAGACGGGGAGTCCACACCTGGAAGAGAACGGTTGCACAGGATAAGTTCAGGGTTTTGTAGCCTTTCCCTGGGGATCTGTAGGGGGAACAAATGCAGTCTGTCTGGTCTTGGAACCAGAAAACTGAGTGGGAAACCATGTCTACCAGCAAGAAGGGGAGGAATCAGAGGGTATTCCCAGCTCTGTCTGCGCACACCTCTGGTGGGCTGCTGAGCCCCATACACACAGAGTACACTCATAGCAACTCAGCCAGATACAAAAGGGCTGACCCAAGATTCAAGCTGCCGCCTAAGAAACAGATTTGTAGTTACAGTCCAGCCAAGATGAACTGCCTGCTAAAACTCCAGAAAACATTATACTCACTGAAGCAAAATAACAGAACCCAGAGTCCTCTCAAATTTTACGTCCTCAATGTCCTAGATACCATTCAAACTTACAAAATGTGTGAAGAACCAGGAAAATGTGACACATTCTTTTTTTTTTTTAATTAACATATATTATTTGTTTCAGGGGTACAGGTCTGTGATTCATTAGTCCTATATAAGACCCTGTGCCATTTACAACACATACCTTCCCCAATGCCCATCACCCAGTTAACGGGAGACATTCTGAAGACAACTAAAACCAATCCTCAGAGGATGCAGATGTTGAAATGAGCAGACAAGATTTTTTTTTAGCAGATAAGAAATCTCAGCAGAGAAATAGGAAAAAAAAGAAAAGAACCAAATGGAAATTCTAGAACTGAAAAAGTAATACACCAGATGGACTTAACAATGAACTGGAGATGACAAAGGAAAGAAAAAGTGGCCTTGATGACAAATCAACAGAAAATTATCCAATGAGAAGAATAAAGAAAAAAAAATTGAAATAAAAACAGATACTCAGAAAACTGTTAGAAAATATCATACATATAATTGGAGTTTTGGAAAGGGAGAGAGAATAGAGCAGAAAAGCTATTCGAAAAATAATGGCGAAATATTTCCTCATTTGGGGAAAGACATACATTTATAGATTCAAGATGCTCAACAAACACCAAGTAGGATAAATACAAAAAAAGGTTAGCCAAGGCACATCATAATTGAACTGTAACAAGTCAAAGGTAAAAAGCAAATCTCAAAAACATGGGAGAGAAAAATGACATACTACAAAAGAACGGTTCAATTGGAAGCTGATTTCTTATCAGCAATTATGGAGGGCAGAGACAGTAGAACATCTTTAATGTGCTAAAAGAAAAAACTGTCAACAGCCCATAAACAGATCCTTCAAGAATGAAGGAAAAATAAAGAGAATTCATTATTAAAAGACCTGCACTACCAAAAAAAAAAAAAAAAAAAAAGGGTTAAAGGAAGTTCTTCAAGCCAAAGGGAAATGATACCAGATGGAAATCCAGATCCTCAAGAAAGAATGAAGAGTATCAAGAATAGTAATTTTGACACTGCCCTGTGGGGTTTATAGTATACATAAATGTAATACATAGAATAGCTACAGCAGAAGGACAAGGTAAGGTAGGGGCAGGCAGAAGGAATATGCACCTGTACAGTTGTAAGCTTTCTGTTTTATGTGAAACAGTGACATTATTAATTGTACATGGACTGTGAAGAGTAAAGGATATATATTATGATCTCTAGAGAAACACCCAAACAACAACACACACACAAATACATACTAAGAGGAAGATTAAAATGGAACTGTTTATACAAATATGTATGTACATATATCAATATATACATATATTAAAATTATTTTTTTTCAAAAAAAGCAGAGGAGGAGGAACATAATAAGAAAAAACGGAGGGGAAATAAATAGAAAACAAATAATAAAGAGGGAGCCCCCAACCCCTCCATACCAGTAATTACATTAAACATTAATGGACTAAACATTAGTGGTGGCCTGAGGCTTGCAACAGAGATTAATTGCTGGGTACAAGGGATCTTACTGGTGTAACAGAAATGTTTTAAAACTGGATTATGGATTCCAATAAAAATTGGAAAAAAAAACTGGATTATGATAATAGCTGCACAACTCACCAAATTGCTTTGAAAATTACTGAAAGGATGAACTTTATGGCATATAAGCTATACATCAATAAAGCTGTTTTCTAAAAAGTGAAAGAGGAGTGCCTGGGTGGCTCAGTCAGTTGAGCGACTGACTCTCGATTTTGGCTCAGGTTGTGATCTCATGGGTTGTGAGACTGAGCCCTGTGTTGTCTTGTGAGGCTCCACACTCATTGGGGAGTCTGAGATTCTTTTTCTCCCTCTCCCCTTCCCCCAGCCCCACTCATGCTCTAAGATAAATAAATCTTTAAAAAAAAAAAAAAAGTGGGGTGCCTGGGTGGCTCAGTCAGTTGAGTGGCTGACTCTTGATTTTGGCTCGGTCATGATCTCAGAGTCCTGGGACTGAGCCCTGCGCTGGGCTCTGTGCTTGGTGGAGGGTGCTTAACGATTCTGTCCCTCTCTCTGCCCCACCCCCTACTCTCTCTAATAAATAAATAAACCTTAAAAAAAAAAAAGAAGATTCATGAAGCAAAAACTGACAGAATTAGAGGAAGAAATAAAATTATCCCACAATTGTAGTTAAGTTTTTTTTTAAGGTTTATTTATTTATTTGAGAGAGAGAAAGCGCATGAGTGGGAGAGGAAGACGGAGAGAGAATCTCAAGCAGACTCCCCGCTGAGCACAGAGCCCAACAACGGGCTCAATCCCACAGCCTGAGCCGAAACAGAGTCAGATGCATAATCAACTGCG